GCACAAGAAACACAACTTACCTGGGTTACGGTGTTTATGAACACTTTGACAACTATCCAGCAGTGATGCAGCTTGTGCCAAATCACTGTTCTTCAGAAACATTTAAACTTGGAGAGCCTTGCTGTAAAGACTCCTCACACCTTTAGTTTGGAACACAGCTGGCTGGGGAACAGAGATTTTCCCCTTGGAAAGGGGAAGTGACATGGAGAAAGTCACCATGGCCACATACCCATCTCCTCCTTTCTGCAGAGGATGATTTGCAGTTTTAATTGGTTTGCAGTTGTGGTTTACATAGAACAAGATCTCGTTCTCTGACTGTCAGTATCCAACACTCACTGTATCAACGGACATAAGGCCATTAGGAAGAAACACCGTTTTATGGAAACCTAGTGGCAAAGAAAAAATATAACAAATCTACACTGAGAAAAAGTTACAAATGTGACAGTCCCCAGAAAGATCCAACTCTATTCTCAACAAGTTGGAAGTAGAATAATAATGCTTCAAATGTGAAGCGGCATCACAAACTGGCCAAGAGCCTGTGGGAGCAAAGTCATCTTTGTTGAACAAAAGCTGGGATACAAGAGTTCCACGAGAAGGAGAATGAAAACGAAATTCTTCCATGGGAACAAGAGAGATAAGATTATGGAGGCTTAAACTGACCCAAATAGAAGTACAGAAAAGCCTTTCCACTCTCAAGATTGTACTTGTATGCAAGAGAAATTCTTACTGCTTGGAATGCAGCATAAACAAATGATAGATGTCTGGACATCGATGAATGTGTAACTTAAATTTTTAAACTTAGACATAAGTACACTGAACTGTAGAGACAGTGGAGTATGTCTGACAGACATTGCTTGAAATACGAATATTGACAAGTACTAAAGTGTTGCTACTTTTCAATTTGAAATAGGTCTGATTATTGATGCTTTTGGTGAATTAAGAGACCAGCAAGAACAAGTGAGAGAAGATATGGAGGTATGTGTAAGCACACTACATTTTTCATTACTCTTATCCATCTAGATTGTTACTAGGTAAAAGTGTGTGTTTGAGTTAAAATTAATTTGTAACCACAACTTGTGTTTCCAGACCAAATGTTTTATTTGTGGAATCGGCAATGACTATTTCGACACAACCCCACATGGCTTTGAAACACACACTTTGCAAGAACACAACTTGGCAAACTACCTGTAAGTATATTTTCCTCCTGGAATTACAATGAAGAGACCTTTCAGCTCCAGTGTAACGGAGGTGCAAACGCTGCTGACAGTCCTAACCAGAATTCTGTAGAACTGAGGAATGTCTCCAGTCCTTCCCCTCCCCTACTCCACGCTGCTGGTTATCTTTGAAGTGCTCACCTTACACATGAGCTACCTAAGTAATGAGAGCTGAGGACACACCAACCCCTCGTTACTCTGGCAGGAAACCCAGATATCGTGGAATGATAGGGAACAACAGTTCAATAAGTTGCTTCAGTTTGGAAGTTTTGATTGTGTCACATTGAAGAGACCATTGAAAATCAGCCTCCATTTGACAAAAAGAAACCTAAACCAAAACATCAAAACAAACAAAACAAAAAAAAGCATTTCTGGAAGATTCCTGACAGATAAGCTACAAAAAGTACGGAACAAGCCTGATCCTATCATTCTTTAGCAATAGTGCAGCTTTCAAAAACCTCGAAGCAACCAGGAGTTGTGTGTGTTTAGACTAATGCCCAGACTCCCTAGACAGTGATCTTCTGCTTTCATTAGTAAATACAGAGCAGATCAATGAGGACATTTAAAAAGTTAATTTGGTGGCATTAGTTACTTGTAGAACAATGATAATTATATGAGCATTGTGCCAGCAGAACCAAAGGAGCTGAACTGGTGGTGTGTCTTACAGAAGTCTGGCTTTGGAATACTGCATCTGAACATTTTAAATTAAAAAACAAAAAAAATAGAAAGAAATGCATGCCTCCTGGAGTGGAGGCTGCTTTATTCCTTGCATAGCAACTGACACTGCAAAATCAATGCACATTACTGTTGTGAGGCAAATTTTCATTAACATCCATAATTTTACCAGTCTACAACCTCTAAGCTTTTCTTACTGTATTGAATTGCTTAATTGGTATACGGGAACCTGTAATGCACAGTAAATTAAAAATGGCCATTTCCTTAATATTAGGATATATAGTAAACAATCTTTCTAACCAGGTTAGTCAGACAAATGTTCAAGTCAAGTTGGTCTACATTCCCTTCTTTACAATGAAAGCACATACAAAGTTTAATTCCAACAGCACCGCATCCGAAGTGGCCAACCAAAGGCTGTGGTACACATAAACTGACCAGTGTTGGTACTCTGCTGCCTTCCCGATTAGTTCAACCTCTCTCCCTTTGAGTGAGCCCAGGTCTCTGAGACAGACAGGCTCAGCTCATGACCGGTATGGTGGGAGTGTCTGGAAATCTTGCTGCAGCTGAGTACTTGCCACGCTTCTTACATGGTAGCCATAGTAACTTCTTTGAAGGTGAGATGTTGTAGCATATGCACATAGGAGTTGGCATATGCCTAAAATTCAGGTATTTCTCCTAGCACTGAAATGAAGAAAATGCTAAACCACAGTTTTCCACTTCTACAGATTTTACATCTGTTAGCACTTCCACAGAAGAGCTGGAGGATAGACTTTCTCCTTTTACATAAGCACTTTAGGTGCCTACTGGTATCATGACTTTGCTGGTTGGCACAATCTCCCTCACATGCCCCAGGGAAGGAAAGGCGAGGCAGAGATGTTATGTTTTCTACACTCATACCTGTGTTCTGTGCTTGTTTCAGATTCTTTTTAATGTATCTCATTAACAAGGATGAAACCGAGCATACTGGCCAGGTGAGTAGAAAATAAAACTTAATTTTTTTTCTTAAGATTATCCTTCAATGTTTTTATCTTCTCCAGCCTTGTAGCTGCGTGCCACCAGGTGGAACTGACGTACCACCAAGGAGTGGCTGATGCCACCCTCCCTGAGAGCCTTCTGCCAGTGAAAGAAATGGAAGGGTTAAAGAAAGGGAGGGGTGGGCTGACAGCAGTGGTCACCAGTAGTCTTACTGTCATGTTGTATCTGAAATGAAACTCTGAAATACACCAGTTGTAGTTTATTCCCAAAAGATTTAACTAGTTAGGCTACTCTATGCATAGTCTAAATCCATGTATATATATATAGATAAGGTATATGGATGTGTGTCTCTATGTTTAGTGTTGTTAGGCCCTAGATGGAAAGAAATAAGAAAATATATAGGATTTAATTATATCTTCTCTCAAATAAGCAGCTGTTACGCAAACACTACAGAAGTACCTTGCATGTCAGTGTTTTCCAGGCAAACTAAAACATTATTTATATATGCAGGTTGTGTACAGGTTTGCTCTGACACAACTAGACTGATTAATTTACACTTGCTTACACAGTTTTTCTAACAGGGATTAAATTTCAGTAGCACTGAATCAAGAAAAGCACAGAGCAATGCTTTTACAAATGTTCTTGAGTTCTGATCTTTGAGTTTCAATGTCTTCAATGTCTTCACGTTTCTGCTTCAGTAACTGCTTCAGGCGCAGTACCTGGCTATTGTTAAAAGTTTTTCTAAAGCACTAACTGCAAGGTGTCTGTTAAAATAAATAGATGCTCTTTATCATTTTCAGGAGTCATTTGTGTGGAAGATGTACCAAGAAAGATGCTGGGATTTTTTCCCAGCAGGAGACTGCTTCCGGAAACAGTATGAGGATCAACTTGGCTGATCTCACAAAAAGAAATTATTTATTAATGAACTGCTAAGATCCAATATGGAAAAAACCCCTTATTTTCTTTTCATTGTGTAATTTCACAGCTTCTATTTGCTTTAAATGTCCTTAAACTTCTAAGATATACATAAAATCTGACACTACTTCATAGGTACAAAAAGCCTATCACATATGAAACAGGTCTTTGGTTGGAATTTTAATGAGAAAAGAGAAAACAATGCCAGAGTAGCTCGAGCCTTCCAGGTCAAACATGGTCTGAAATTATAGCAGCTTCTTAACCACATCATTAACCTAGTGTTTGGCAGTACAGTTGAAAGGGCTAAAAGGTGTCTTAATTGCACAACATTTGACATTTAAGAACTTGAACATCAGAGGCCACGCCTCAGAGAAAAACCATTTTAACTAACTGCTGCCCAGTTTTCCCCCAGTATTTGCTAGTGAATGTATTAAGACACAGCTTGAAAAGCTTTAAGCAGTTAAAAAGAAAACATTTTCAAACACTTTGTCAACCTTGAAACATTAAGTGCCTTAAAACCTCTGTAGACATAGCTATGCAAACTTTTTATTTATGTTAGTGTTCTAGATGAACCAATCCATTAACTGTATTGCTCTTCTGTCTTTCTGTATGGAATTGCACTTGAAGTTTGTTTATATACTACCTTCAATAACAGCTTATTAGATGCTGCTGTTAAAAGACATACACTGTATCAAAACGAATACAATGTAAATCTTTGGCCAAAATACAACAATGCTCTATGGTCATCTGCAAGTAGAAGCTGTTAGGATAATGCATTTTTTTTTTCTTCTAATAAAAAGTGCCACTGCAATAAAGTATTATAAACCAAGTATTATCTTTGCTGTCTTCTTTCTCATTTTTCTACAATATGGACATGTGGCATGAGGACGGCGACTAAAAACACATGTATTAATTGTTCATTCATAGCTTTATTTTAAGGACTACATAGAGCAAGCACAAGCTGAAATAACTGTTTTCATAGTGTGCCTGAGCCTGCATCTTTTGCAAAGAAAATCCTAATTTGATCACAAATTTTACACCTTTCTAGGCATATTAGCCTTGGAGAATTTTCAGTCACATCTAAACGAATTTTGGTTGCACGAGATTTGAAGTACCAGCACAGAAAACCAGGCATGTGTCATACTGAAACAGATACAGGAAGGTTCAACTTTGTCCCTAGTGTTTGCTATATTCAGTTATCCACACAGGAAAAATGGACCTTCAGGATATCATGCTGTCCAGCCAGTCTTCAAGCTCTTCCTCAGTAAGATCTTTAGATGCACTTTGCTGTGGCTGTGACACTGTACTCTTCTCCTCAGGCATATCTGGTTTTACAGGGTCTAGAAAAGTGAAAAGAGCAGACTTGAAAATCTGGAAACAATTCCATACCAGCTCTTTGTCCCAAATAATTTTGCTTTTTAATGCACAACTAACTATTTAAACACTCTCAAGAGTAGCGAGTAATATTCAAAAAATAGTAGCAACAATTAAAAAAATGAGGTGCCTTAATAAGCTCAACCAGAGCAAAGTGGCTTCCATCTGATTCAAGGGGTCTGGTCTGCAGCAGCCAGGTTAAAAGTGATCCCACTACTGCAATGCTTGCAGTCCTGTCCCATGCAGAGGTTACTGCAATGTAGGAGAGGAGCAGGGGGCCACAACAGCAGATGGCCCTGCATATGGTTACAGCATGACATGATTCAATATTCTCATGGCATCCTATTCTTGAGGGATTCCCACCGTGCTCTGGGGTGGAAAGCATGACGTACCCCTGAACTGGAACAGCATTCTTGAAATGCCTTCTGTAACAAGGCTTGCTGTGTTGCTTGTGGTGACATCTTACATGTTCAACCACCTTGGACTTCATTTTTAAGATAGGAAGAGAATCATATACAAAAAAATCAGAAATGCTAAAAGTTCTTCTGCAGCACCGGACTGGGGAGGAGTAGCAAACCCACTGTACCAAAACTAACACACAGGAATGTAAGTTCTAGGACTGCAAACAAAAAGGTTTGCTGATTTTTTCTGAAATATGAAAATTTCTGTATATATGATTAGTTTCCACACAAAACTTATTTTTTTTTAATCAATGCTAGTAAAGTTTGAAAACAGCCCTTATAACAAGCCATCAGAAACAGAAGAACTGACAGCTGTATACTATTAGCCCAGTGAACTAAGGGCTGCTAATGTTACACAAAACGTTTTATCTTTCTCTAAAATTCTCTAGCAGTACATTATGTTTTTTAAATTTTAAATTTTGCTCAATCACAAGACCAATGCTGTTCTGCAGAAGCATTTCTCTTACAACTTAAAATGAACTGAAAATGGTGAAACTTGTTCAGTGGGGAATTAAAACTGAAAAGGTACAAGTGGGCCAGAACACAGCCCCAGATAACTGAACTGCAGCGTGACAGATGACGACAGCAGCGCTGTTAACTGGCCCATCAAGAGTTCAAAAACATCACCAAAATGGAGAGCAATGGGATTTAAGTAGGGGCCTGCTGGGGAGAAGAAAGATCTTACCATTCTCCTTACAACCCATTTCCAAATCTTTCTCAGTTGATGCGTTGTAGGGTAATGCATCCGACACAGGGCTGTTTTCTGTACCAATGGGAGCATCTAGCTTTAGGAGAAGATCTAGTTCTTCTTCCAAATGGTCAGTCTCTTGCTTTGATAATGGATGAGCTCTCTGAAGTGGTTCTGCTGCGCTTGTCCTAGGACCGTTTTTACTTCCAGGCTTTGACGGAGCAACAGAATCACCAACGGGATGGGAGACCAGCACCGTTTGACTTTGAGCCTGAGGCTGTCGGAACAGAAACTCTCTCCTCTTGCTGTCTTCAATGATTTTAGATTTCATCTGTGGGAGCTCTACAGGTGTGGATGCCTAAGAGTACAAGAAAGGACTTGAGTCTTCCTAATGATTACCTCCACTTTTACTATTCTCATTGGGATTGCAATTCATGCTTCCTACACTTGATCACTTAAAAAGGTACAATGAATTTCAGCAAAATTGAATTCAGAAGTAAAAGTAAACTGAAGTTATCCCAACAAAAATTTACAGAGGCAACCACAAACTCCTTTTATCCCTTATTATGGGATAGGAGATTGCATGCTAAATCAGCAAGTTCACAAATAATTCTTGGTGAGTTACTTGAATCCATCTGTACTGAAATCCCACCAATACTATGGATGTTTGAATGACTGAAGTCGGAATTTGGCTAGAAACATTATCCCAATTTAGGCCTTCCTTCCAACATTCCAGTCTCGAAAGCAAACCATGCTACGGGTTGCTGAAAATCATTTAGCAAAAGTTACAGTACAGAGCTGTATATTTTGAAAAATGAAACCAAATTACAAAACATTATCAAACAGTGAAACAAGAAATAGCAACTCATGATTTAACCGTGGGATACAGATTCTGCTTTTATCAGGACAGTATGCTCTGTCTTAAGGGAGCTCGGCATTAATAACACTGCAGTAAATCTGATGACCACATCATCAGTCAGAACGACAAGAAAAATATTAAATGTCATAACACACACTTTATAACCCTGATAAAAGTTAAAGACCATGAATTTTAAGAAGCAAATTGCATTTAAAAGTAACCTTTATTTACAGATTCCCTTACATATCACATCTGCAGATGTATTTGAGCTCCCTTAAGACAGAGGATACTTGTGGCACTCACAGAAGCCCTTCATGCAACTCCAGACAGAAGTAAAATTCATTCTGTATAAGTCATATTTCTTCTTCCTTGCTTAAGCAAATGGATTTATTTTTTTTTTAAGAATTTTGGTTTTTATATTTAAGTCTCATTGGTTCTTTTGCCTTTACATGAATATTTTCACAGCCTGGAGAAACACTTTTTCCTAATATTCTGTTGGGTTTTTTGTTTGGGTTTTTTTCCTTCACCAGAGCATGAATGACATTTTCTTTCCCTGTCTAATTAACAGTTCTACCTGTTCTAACAGAGATGTAAGTTTGATTCATGGAATAAACATGTATGTTATATTAGCTACATAGAATAAGTCACAAGTAATTAACTGGAAAGAAAGCACTTTCAAAATTTTGGTGCAAGCCTAACAGCTGCTAACAAGAGAAGCAACTGAAAAAATGGAGCAATCATTCCATGTCAAACACTCGGACACTCAAATCTAATGTGCTGCACACCAAAGCATTTTGTTTAAAGCCAACAAAGCATAAAAGTGCTGGTAGAAGTACATCCCGCTTTACATGCCATTTGATATGCCAGCAATGCTTACAAAATACATTCTATGTATGTTTGAAGACCAAGTTTAAAGTAATCATTCTTGCATAGATTGCCTCACATAAAATATTTGCATTGTCTTGTGAAAGTTCACAGGATTACCTGCACAAGTTCAGCAGCTACATTCAACCTCACGTGGAGAGGCAACTCCTGAAGGGCTTGGACCAAAGACTGGCAGTCAATAGAAAATGCAGAAAACTGAAAGATAATTCAACACAGTCCATTATGAACAATAATGATTTTAATCTAGTGCATTCCCCTGTTCTACACATTCAAGGAACGTGAAAAACAATCCAATAAAATACAGGAATTCACAGTTTTAAATTACACATGCACAAAGCAGTTTGGCTACATTACCATATGAACACCTACAACACAAATAATCACTTAAAAGTTTAAAAACAAGATATAAATGGAATGCTCCTTAGGCAATGCGTTGACAATCCAAAGTAGGAAATAGTTCTGCAAGTTGACGGTGTCCTAAGAGGCTTTTACAACTCAAACATCTTTTAATCTGTGAAGATTTCTATGCAGTGGGAGCTGCTGTTCTTTAATGAGCAAGTTGCTAATATCGTTCTTCTAAGAAATCAACAACGTAGCTTGTGTGGAGCTCTACTGTCTTTAGCTCCCAAACAACATGGCCCTTTTTATCCTTCCCCTCCTTTTAAAGTTGTTTTGCTGCTTTGAAAAGCAAAAACTATGGTTACATACACTTCTAAAATTATAGTCAATATATTGAAGAAAGGTACTCTACTTCTGCTTAATTCCTTCAAAGGCAGCACTGTCACTGTCACTTACTAACGGGACAGTTATTGAAGTTTCCTTTTCTCTTGACCCTCTTTCTCTTTTTCTTGTCTTTAAACTATTAAAACCAAATTTACACAAAATGGACCAGCAATATTTGATGTTTTTACAGAACACTGTATTTTGGTAGATGCAAACAGATTTCAAGCTTCCAGTACAGCAGAACATTTTGAGCACATTCACCATGGTTGGAAAAGATAATTTGATATCCATCACATCTTTTAAAATCTGACAACAAAACTCTTAAGCTCAGTCTATACTGTTATTTTCATGGAAGTAGAGAAGCTGCTTCTAAATCTCGCTTAAAAGACAAAAATTTGTCCTTCTCAACACCTTATAGACTGACAGACATTTAGAAGTCCAAATACTCAGAAATTAGGAGAGAGTGTTTTGTGCCATACTGTAAGAGATTTGTCAGAGGAACTGACACTGCCCCCAAAAGCCAGGCAACAGGATGGCTTTTAACACCTGCACGCACAGCAAGAAAGGACAGCAAAGACATGGTGTGTTCTGACAGCATATTCACAAAATTAAAATTGATTTTTTAAAAAAGAACCATCTGAGCCAGGATTCAGACTAAAATTAGAAATCAAAGGAAGGGTAATAGTGACTACTGCAGTGACCTACTTTAAACTGCTTTAAGAACAGAGAAAGCCAGGAAACAGTTCGGTACAACAGATTTGGACGGGGCAGGACAAATGACTGCAGTTTGGTGCAGTCAGAGGCAGAAGGACATGCCCACCACAGCACACTTCACTGTGGGGGTGTGAGACCGGCTCCACAACTCTGCAGTCTCATCACCGGAATATTGGTGAAATCCACTGGCACCGTGCAGCTTCAGTCTGCTCACAATGGCTTTAGCCACTCAGAAATTAATATGTTCAAATCACCTAAATGCTATAATGACAAGCCTATGAGGAAATGATAAAGAAATTAATAATCTGGATGCTGACATCTTGCACACAAGGAGTGGGAGGAACAGATAAGAAAAAAATACAGTCACTGAAAGACTGCATCCCACTGAACAAACATATGATGGTTTAAACAAATGCTGCACTCGGCTTTATTTCCTCATTTCAATTTGACTTTGCGACTTTAATGTACCTTTAAATATCACTTTCCTGGGAATAATTATTGCTGATATTTCAGGAAATAAACAGCAAACTTAAAATTTGAATACACCTGTATTTTCATGAAACACTCAAGCACAGTTTCAGAGCGATTTTAAAAAAAGCTTGGAAGACAAAACTATTTATCTTGCGATAATTTAGGTGACTTACCTGAGGAAGACGGCTGCAGAGATTAAGACACATCCAGAAAACAGCGGACTTCTATTGCTTTCCTCCTTTTTATTCCAGCATAAAGAATCCACATACAAATAATCTAAAACCTAGCTGGTCCTACACTCATTTTGGGGATGAAGTTTCAATCGCAGGATATGAACTGTTAAAGAACTAGAACAAGCTTCACAGTCAAATATATCAATATACTCATGTAGGTTTTGTTACAGTCATTTTACTAAACTATTTTCTCTTGAATGCAGCTGAAAAAGGAAGGCTGACTTAATATTTTACTTAAGCAAAGTGACAGTCCCTTATTTTCCCTTCACTGAATGAATTTGCTTGTTCTTTTCTTCCGATATTACTTAAAAACGTAGCCTGCTGCTTTGATGAGTCTTCAACAGAAAAACAAGATCCAAGAGCCTCCAGCATCACAGACAATGTAATAAAAGTACACAGAATAAATAGTGCTATTATTGTGTTAAACTATTTGTTGCTGAAAGCACAACTGCCCAGGCGTTCTGTGACAGATCTGCACAAATCCATTTGAATGCTAATTCTGTTACCTGCTCATGGCACACGCTTTCTCTAGCCCACTCTTTCTCGTCAGCAAACCGGAACTGTGTGAAGGAACCTCCTGCAGAAAAGAAATAAAAAATACATTTATTAAAAAAAAAAGCAACTCTTTCCAAAGTTCCCAACCCTACAGAAGTAAATTCAATCAATAAACATCATGTCTTCAACAAACGTGTATTTAATTTTAATGCTGTTTGCATTCACAATATTAAACTTCTTTAAGCCGAAGTTCTATAGAAACATCTTTTAATCTCCTATTTTCAAAGCAGTACTGAAAAAGGTGCCACAAATTCAAAACTGAATGAGGAGGTGCTAGGTGCCACGTCAAAAAGCAAGCTTCTTATTGAAAAGTCCAATTTGGACAAAATACTAGTCAAATGTACAGTTTTCAGAGAGCATTTTTTATTTACAGCTTTGAATGTGCTCTAGATAGACTTTCTCTTATCAAAATGCAAATCTCTCTTAAAATGCACTATAATTGTCCTAGAAATCAGTTTGTACAGGCCAAGTAAAGACTCCTCGCCTGGCAGCTAAATTTTCCAACCTGTCTCTTCCTTGAACTAGTCCCTACTGCAGCATGTCAGCAAAAAAGGCATTGAACTCCAACTCACACGCAGAAGGGACTGAACTAAAAGAAACTTTAAATTGGGATAATTAGGCCACATATGTAACCTTAGTTATAGGATCTTCTAACCTCCTACCAAATTCCTCCAGGAAAGTAGGAACTTCCTCGTACTATAGAGGGCCTTGGGTTATTATTTTAGCCTAGGTGTGATATTTCTATTGCAGTACCATGCTGGGTTGTGAAAGACATTCTGTTAAATTTATTCACTCAAAAACCACACAAGAATCCCAGGAACTAAAAAAAGATTAGTAAGGTCTGTGACAGTGGAAACGTGAAAGCTTAGGGTCGCAAGATGATGGCCAAAGGTCTAGAGTTACAGAAAGCAAAGATGTTGCTGATGCAGAGTATGGGAGTTTAGTTAGTGCTTTAGAGTATGGGACATACGCTGCCTTAGACCATGCAGTTTGAGAACAAACAGCTCTTTCAGGAGCTATATTGGAAAAAAAAAAGGCCCAAACTGTTAAATTATTGCATGAAGCAGATTGCATTTGATCCCAAGAACTGCAGATCACCTGTAAGTCCCTAGGATTTAGCCCAGCAGTTAGCTGAGAAGCAACAGCTCATTCTCCCCTAACCTCTAATAGAAAATGGAAGAGCTAGAGGAACTTTTCAATGGCATTACCAATAATTGAGCATCTCACTTCCATTTGCCTCTCAGTATTCTAACTGCCATTCATACCTTTGACAATTCCTGAATCATACCCTTAATCCTGCACACAAAATCCAAACAAATAATATGCTGTCCCAAAACCTGGCTTTTTCCTATTGTCTGCCTGTACCAAGATGCAGGGGAGTTCCACATTCCAGCAATTTTACTCAGTGGTGCAACCATCAGCCAGCTTCTGTTTTGCAAACAGAATGAGTAAGCAGCAAAACGGCACAGTAACCGGCCTATTTCTTTGCCAAACAACAAAAAAGGGAGACCTACCCATCTCCCAGCTGGAATGTAAAAGTCAGTGGGCATGGCTTTTTTTTGTGGTTTTTTTTTCACAGAATCACAGAACGTTAGG